TCAGCTTGGCGTGGCAGCGGGAGTACAAAGTGCAGTACCACCTGGAGCCTGTCTTCGTGGCTGCGTGCTGGTAGTACGTGTACCCGTTGTAGAGCATATTATTTTTTCCGTTTCTCAGCGTTATCAGTTTCGCTGTGGAAAAAACCTTTCGTGGATTAGACTGTTTGGGCTCAGGAAAACGCGAGTCTGTAGAAATACAACCCGCTAACTGCGCACTTTGCTGGAATGCGACTCTCCGTCCCACTTACCCGCAACTTCCTCGCGTTCGCTACGTCCGTATCCACAGAGCACGGAATTCCATGCTCTGTGTCCGTACCAGATGGTTGATGTGACGTCACGGCTACCAGGTGCGCAGTTAACTTGACCGGGTTGCAGTACAATAGGAAAGTATCGTTGCTCTTGCAACTGAATTTAATGTTTTGGTAGTTTTTGGTACTGTTTGCATTAGAATTTAGTTTTTTGAATGACATGATGTTAATCAATAAATAATATAAAGCGTAAACTCGGTTTATTTCATAATTCTTTACAGCTAAAATAACAGCAACCACAACAATAACTATAATTACATTTATGTTAGTAGTTAATATTATACCATCTCAGTTAAGTATTTCTATTTAAATAAAACAATAATCAAAACAGCGAGTAACGAAAAGGATATAAAAATATGAATATAATAAAATGTAAACTAGACACGTAAAATTTGTTTAGTTAATTAATTCACTAATTTATGGTACTACAAAAACCAAGTAAGTAAAACTTTCTCTGGCTCTTAATTACCATAGTGTTAGAAAAGTAAACCAAAACAGAAATATAAATGTATTTTTACAATATTTTACTATTTACATTACTTTGCAGTGTCAGTAGGTACCAAAGTACGAGGCCTGCTGACCATAGTATATTTGTTTCTTCCAAAGTTCACATTTTACACTAGCTAATTATCTAAAGTACGTTTAAAATTATCCGGATCTGTCAAATATTTGCATTACAAGAAATCATGCCTATTGATGTATCTTTAGGCCCCGTCCACAATATATGAAAACTATACCTTCATAAGAGCGCAAATCAATTGAAGTTATAATTATTATGGACTTTTTACAACAGGCTCAACTACTACGTACGTACACAAATAGAACACTCGTCCGGTACTAAGTAGACATCCTTGTCCTATATTCTATCTTAATTAATTTTTAAGCTTAATTTATCTTTGAGCGTAGATTTTGCGCAAGCCAAATTGTCCCCCGATCCTCTAAGCTACGGGACTATTCCCACCTCTCGTCCCCACCACTGCAACTCCTGTGTAGCCAGGATCTACAGCTTGACTGCCATAAAAACCCAACCAATGAAGGTCAAGTTTGTCCCGGGAGAAAGTTAAACTGTCATTGGACCCGCAACGAAATGAATCAGAAGAACATAGGAGGAGTTCGAAATTAAGGTTCGACTTCCCTCCATTGCAAAGCAGATGACAGGTGACAAATAAAGGTTTAAATTTTAAAACCTTTAAGAAAAGATTATGCACCACGGACAACACCAATCCTCTAAGCCAGTGGTTCTTAACCGCGGACCACTGGTGGTCTCTGGAGGCATTCCAAGTGGTCCACGAAGATATCGTAATAAACAAGTGACGTGAGGTAATGAGTCGAGTCAACACAATGCAAACGGCGCACAGTGGGCGAGAAATAGACCTTCCCTTACATAGGATTTTGAAAAAAAAAAGTGGTCCCTGACAAGACAAAAATTTGTTAAAACGATCCCTCGTGTCTTAAAGGTTAAGAAGAACCACTGCAGGCTAAGCTGTTGCTTATGTAAATCAGGATCTATCATGACCACTGTTCCATACAATGTATGGCACACGTTGTGGCATTAGAAATCACGATGACAACTCTCTATAAAGACCAGCCGGGCTAGGATGCGCGCCATGATAAAATCTTATCGATGATTTTAGACGACAATGCCTGCTTATCGCGTAAAATGTAACTACGATAAAATGGCGTGATAAACGCTTATCGCGGCGAGCATCCAAGGCCTACAGATATGGATTTACGACAGTCAGCAAATAATAAAAATCAAATACTATTTATGCTTACGTCTATATTCTGATCTGTTGATATCTGGCACTAGATTTTCAAACTGCAATCGATAGTAATAAATTTGAGTCTAGCGCAAGTGAGTCCTTGCAAATCAATTAGAGAGAGCAAATTGGCTTGTGCTAAATCCTAGCTCCTATAGTTACATTATCACATAACGCTAGCGAGATTAAAATTTGATGACTTCCACAGCGTATAACACAAATTGGCCAATGGCTATTAAACCACTAAAATGACTTGTTAGTTTAGCATTAAACTCTAATTAAAATTAAACTATGCTCAACTAAGTATTAACATTAGTATCTACGTGACATATGAAATATTTTTCAAATCTTGCTTTACGTACCCTTGCCTAAAGATTAATTTACTCTCCTATTTATAATCCTTACTAAATAAACCACTATTGTTAATTGTCAGATTAGTAATTAGACCAATTATTACAAAACCTTAGTCAGCCATACCATTTACAATGCAAATTAACTTTATTAACTTTAAAATATTTAAATCTATTTCGAAATAGACATTATTAAAACTCATCGGAGTGTCTTTAACATTTGATGATAGGTATTTATGTTTAAAACTGCTTTATTTATATTAATTACTGCATTTTCATTATCTACAACGTTTTTATGTATTAGTAGAATCTTCTTTAAATTAATCATTATAGTCTATCCAATATAGCTTGATTAGAATGACGGCTGTCAAACGAATGTGACTAGTGCTGGGTATGTTTCGTACGGTTCACATAGATGTATCGATAAGTTTTCGAAAAAATGATATAAAAAAATGCACCCAATTTTTCTTTATATCTTCATTCATAAAAATGACAATTATGATTTAAATTTAAAGACAGTAAAATTTAAAATCCATGTACAACCTAAGTTGTAGTCATTATCATCAGTGTTCTTCAGTGGTTTTTTCCTCTCGCTAGAGGGCGGTGGGCATCTCTTCTGGAGCAACGGTGCTATGAATACCCAAAAAATTACCGGTGATTGATTTCCGATGTTTGATTATCTAAGAATGAAATGTTTTTTGGTTTTTAATAGTGAACATTTAACATTTAGAAAAACGTACAACTTGACTTAAATATGTTGAAAAATGAGTTGAAAAAAATATTTGTTAAATATGTTAAAAAAATAGTTTTAATTTAATATGACATTTGTCGATATGTCCCAACACTAACATTTTTGTAACTCGAGATAACCTTGTAGAGACGTCGTTAATACTCTAGCTTGATTTTTATAATTTCGAATTACTACTTATTGGTGTAATTAAACGCTGCATTTACACGAAATTAACATTTTTATTGGAAGCACTGTCGTCGAAAATATTGTTTGTAGGTCAGACGTGAATTATTTCTTGTCCGCTAATATTTAGCTCTCATTGATCGCTACTACAAAGTTATGTCGTTACTTTCGATGGCAGCTGTCATTCTAATCAAGCTATATTGGATAGACTATAGTGTATATTCATCACTCTAAGTCTAGTCTGTTAGAGTTGTTTTTTTACGTACGCACATACTTCAATGTATGATGACTCTTATGAAATCTACACGTAATATTTTCAGATTTTAAAATCATGGATCATATTTTATTATAATTTTAATTAAGTAATTAAAATGCACAGACTAAGTTTGGCCAGTAGTAGACTTTTTAAAAGAATAAAAAAATATTTCGTTCGTTCGTTCGTTTCAGCCAAATGACGTCCAAAAAAATATTTAAATCATTGAAAATACGTGGGAGATAAAAATCTAGGATGACTATCATTTACAATACATTTTGACGAGCATTAAAAGGCTGTTTCTGATCATGATGGTTAACCTACAAACTTACAAACTATTTAATAAAAACAATGAATATAAAAAACATAAAACTATTCTATGAAAATTAACTTTTTGCTGCCAATTTCTTGAAAGAAGCATCCAATTTTGTCCATGAGCCGGCTGGAATTTTAATTTTTTGTGATGACAGTAAATGCCAAAAATTATCGGTAACATTTTGGCCGAAAGGAATGGCGAAACGCTTAGCACCCAGGGCCTAGACAAAGTTAGAAATGTGCCAGTTGTAATCCCAATATCGCTACGCCCCGGATTCTTTTTTGTATTTAGAAACTTGGCTTTGTGAAACGATTTCGAAATTAATCCTGTCACGTGTGTTACTTTGTCTAGGCTATTGCTCGCTCAGTGCTATTTGGCATGAATTCTATAGGGAAGTATTTATTGTATGTAGTGACTTGGCTCTGGGTAAACCATTTCGAAATTTTACTTGTAACAGTTGTTACTTTGTCTAGGCTGACAGTGACACTTGGCATGACAATCTACATGGAAGCATGAAACGCTTGGCTCAACAGCGCCGGTTTCGCCTTATGATTATGTTTATTTCTGTTCTCTATGTGATGGTTCATAATGTTGATCATTATGTATGCTGGACAGTTGACTACTTCTGAACATTTCCACTTCACAATGCCAGTTTTGTCCAGCTTGTCTCTTGCTTGCTCTTTGTACACGTAGCCTTTGAATATTAGCATTTTGTCCCCAGCGGGAGACTCGAATACGCCTCCAACAACAATTTGTTTTTTAACTGAAAAATTCTAATTTTTAGTAATTGGTCACTTGATTGTGCTCTTAACTAAGATATACTAAAGTAAACTAGAAGAATAATTACATGAACAATTGTTAAGTAAGAAATAAAACAAGGTTTATCAGAATCAAGGAGTTTAATAACTTTAAAGGTGCGTTTTACTGTGAAAGTAAAAATAATAATCATATTTTGTGGGTTATAAGTAGCGCTTAACTTATTTAACATGTAAATATTTGGGAATAAAATAGTAAAACTTAAATGTAGCAGCATCAAAAAAATCATAGTAATAACTTTTTTATGAGAACAATAATATTTCAAATAATTTTTTTTCTAATGCACATTCCGAGTCCAAAACAACATAATAATATGGGTACCAAACTGCTGTACCTAAACAAAAAAGGTTAAACAAATCAACAACATTTTAACCAAAAATTTAATTCGAATCATCATCCAATTCTCCTTCGTTTTCTCCTTGTGGCTTTAGTTTGTTAGAACTCTTCTTTATTCTATAAAAGGAACTTTTGAGACTTTTGAAAGAAGGTAGGTCAGTGGTCAAGTCATAACCCTGGTCCTTCAAGGCTGCTACCGTTGCCTTGTACACCGAAGCGACTGGTATATTCGAGGTTGCTAACAAAGCTTTACTGTTCTCTATCTGTTTGTCTATTTCATTTTTAACGTGGTTCGGGGGATGGCAGTGGCCTGTCCGCTTGTAAATGGTGTTGTCCTGAAAATGAGATAAAAACTATGATCATAATTTAGCACTTTAACTCACAAAGGGATTATACTCGTATGTATCAGTTACATTGACGCGAAAGTGTGTGATACTAGGATAGACAAAATGTAATGTAAAAAACTGATGAAACTTCATACTGAAATTATGAATCAGAGTAATAAGTACTATTAACTTTTAACAATAGCGATTTAAAGTTCTTCATCATCATCATTTCATCCGCAGGACGTCCAATGCTGAACATAGAGGGATTGGGGGAGGCCCAATGATTTCCACATCGATCGGTTGGTAGCGGCCTGCATCCAGCGTCCACCTTATGGGACGTCCACCCGCAAGGTGGACGAACTACCTCATAAAGGTAGCAGGAAGATTTGAGGTTTCCAAAGTAAATTTTGATACAAAAGTAAGTTTTGTCTCTAGATTGTCAAGAGCCGACCGATTATGAAAATATTCCTAGTAGGTATTTTACTTACACGCACGGTTATTCTTCCTTTACACTTCAGTTTCTTTCTAAAAGTGCATTCAAAAACTGTGCCACCATCTTTGTACCTCCGTTTTGCGACGTACCGGTGTCCCGCATATAACAGGACACCGGTGCCGAATTGCTTCTTGATGAAAGTTATATCGTCTTCTGCCAGTTTAATGAAGACATCATGAGCTTCTGGAAGAATATTATTGAATTAATAAGGCACATTAAACAACCTAAGTTTTCTGCAGGGGAACTGAAAATTCTAAAAACTTAAGTCCTTTAGAAAAACTGTTTAATTGGGAGCAAGCCTATTTAGTCACCTTTTTTGGTTTCACTATGAATTTAGTACTTTTAAAGAAATCCTTTAAAAAAATGATGCTCTTAATCCTTGAGATCGCATGACATTTATCTTTATAAAACTTAGATTAGAAAAAATTTATTACTCTATATTGGGCATGAAAAATTATAAAAAACAATAAAAAAATCTTAGGGTTTTAGTTTCCGAGATATTTGATTTAAAATTTTAAACTAACTATACTATAAAATACATCACTACCGACACAAAAATAAATCTATTATTAGGAATGTACAGTAAAATATACAATGCTACACTTGTTCACTAAGTTTTACGAGTGATTTCTACAAGGTTTATTAATTTACTTTTAGAGCACAAAAGTATTACTAAGACACAATTTATTATTTTATTTTGAAAAGTATTAAACAAACTTATTATGGTAAGCAACAAAACAATTTCTATTCGACACAAAGCACAAATGAATTTTGCATTTAGTACAATGAGTCCTAGCCCGTCCATTTTTGCAGTACTTGCACCGCTGATATTCGGTATGTTCTGGCCAGTGGTCAACACAGTCGTACCTAACAGAATCAACTGGTCTTTTAGCTGCTGGTATTTTTATTTTCTTTCCTTCTGCCATGTCTGAAAGTTTATATATTTTTTCTAACGGTGACTAAGCTTAATATGCCGCAATTATTTAACCAATTTATCAAAGATTTTTGATGGATTTGCATAAAGCTAGAGATACAAAACCCAGATGTTCTTCTTAAGGCTGAAATTTAATCCCTCTAAAAGTATCATAGTTTGCATACAACATGAAATCGTAGATCAATCTTAAGACCTCTACCCTGGCATGATTTTTGAATCCCCAATTACAGGGCTTATTAGGGTTATATTGTCGACGAGAACCCGCTTTTACCCCTTTTATGGAATGTTCATTTCGTTTGAACTTTAAGCTTTCTCTTTTTCTACCGAGAGGCATTTCAGTAGAAAAAAGAGAAACCTTCGGAAACTACCTGTAGTTAAAAAACAAAATGCCAACTGCTTTAATTTAGCTCGAATAATTTATTATTTTGGATGTATTAATACTATACAAAAATACCCTTACATGTTATTACTGCCAGCGCCTCGAGGAAAATTTTTGACAGACGCTAAGAAGAGTGGCATCAATCTGCGACACTATCACAGCCAAAACTAACAGAAAATAAGAAATCCGTGTCCAGATTATACACTCAGGAGAATTTAAGGTAAATGACGTAGAATGGTTTCTAATGTAAAATATCATCTTTTTAGTTCTTTCTTAAGGAGGCTTCAAACAGGACTACATTGGCAAACCAGTTAAGTTACAACTGGACAATATCCTATTCTCCCTGATGTAAGTCGGTGGACTATGCTGGTGATCTGCCTGGTATTTTATAACCCTGTCTTCCTTATCCATGACAACGAAAGCATTGCAGCCTTTCATCTTGGCTGAGCAGCGCCAGCGCACGGTAGGGCAGTTCTTCCTGCTGCCCGATTTATGAAAAGTATAGTCGTTCATGATCAGCCGTCTGGATCCGTCTAAAAAGCTGATGAAGCGGACTGAAAAGAAAATTCCAATCAAAGTGATAAAGGATTAATAAATAATGGGGCCTTTTAAAATATTTACAATTGACCGCGTAACAGACTACAAGACAGATTTTTTTATATTAAAATCACACCTATTACCACTATAAAATGCCTCAAGTATGATGTAACTGACGCGATGCTGTCTCAAATGGTAGGACGTGTACTCACACAAGTTACATAGACCCAAAAAGAGCCTATAAATAGGATATACAAGTAAATAATTTAAATTATTGGCCCAATAATATGCCTTTTATAGTCGTACAGGTGTTTGTCGTACATAAACGATTTTTATTATAATAGGGAATTTTGTTATTGTTAATTGTTTTGTTGCTGTGCCTTTAAATAAATAAATAATTATAACAAATATACCTACTAAATTAGTTTTTATTAAATAATACAACAGCCTTGAATAACCAAATGGCACTTATTGTTTGGACATCAAACTATTAAGAATTTAGAGATCAAGACAAAGGTCAGTTGGGAAAAAAGATGGAAAGTTGGTTATTCTAGTTTAATACCCTTTCCTCCTCTCATCATGTACTTAGGAGGGTTATGTGTATGACATTTAGGCTTGCGCAGCAGTCTTTTTCCGTCTTCAGATACGACCACAAAAGCCGAGCATTTATGGCGCATCTTGGACGAGCATAACCATCGAAAGCCGCCACCGTATTTTACACTAGCTATCTTGTGGAAGGTGTACTGGTTTACCATTACCAAAACTTTTCCATTGATAAGCTGGATGTATTGGAATTCTGCAAATTAAATGTGTCCTAATTAAAAGCATCGTTCTTTTCAAATGAAGCCCACTGCTTGACAAAGGCTTTCCCCAAGGATTTCCAGAACGACCGGTCCTGCGCTGAACGTATTCAGTTATTTCCCGCGACCTTCACTGGATCTTCGGTTCACCCACCTAAAGCCTGGTCCGTGAGCACGTAGAATCCCGTCCAATGACCCCAAGCTACCCATCCCTATCGCTCGCGCGTAATTATGTTGCTGTCGCGCTCGCACACTCACTGCGGGCGCCCGTCGCACAGTCGCAGTCATTGAACGGGATTCTACGTGCTCACGGACCAGGCTTTAGTGGGAGGGAGGCCTGCCCAAATAATAATAATACACAAAACTATTTCAATTTAAATAATAACAAATATACTAAATTAGTTTTTATTAAATAATACAACAGCATTCAAATTACCAAATGCCACTTATAGTTAGATTAATGCCCGTTTTCACCATCAATCCCTAATTTTTAAGTGACCTCTATGGTAACAAATAACAGGAATTTTGCTGTCAAAGGGGTCACTTAAAAATTAGGAATTGATGGTGAAAACGGGCAAGTTAGATTAAGACAAAGGACAGTTCTGACGCTTTATGAGGGCATATCTCCATTATTATAATTTAATAGCCTTTCCTCCTACATTCATGTACTGTGGTGGGCTATGTGTATGATCTTTGGGCTTGCGCAGGAGTCTTTTTCCGTCTTCAGACACGACCACAAAAGCCGGGCACTTATGGCGCGTCTTGGACGAGCAGCACCATCGATAGCCGCCACCGTATTTCACACTAGCATACTTGTGGAAGGTGTACTGGTTTACCATTACCAAAACTTTGTCATTGAAAAGCTGGATGTATTGGAATTCTGTAAAATAAAATACCTAATTAAAAGCATCGTTCGTTTCAGCCAAATGGCGACGAGGGCTTCCCCCTTGTCCAGTAGTCTACCTAATACCTGCCTTGTCTAGCATAAAAAGAAATAAAAAAAAGTCGAGCAAGGCAAGATATTTCCACAACGACCACCTCTGCGTTGTATGCATCCAGGTGCTTCCCAAGACCTTCACCAGATCGTCGGTTCACCTAGTGGGAGGCCTGCCCACATTACATTTAAAAGCAGAAATTATTTAAATTTCCAATAATAGAATTAGATTTGGAAACAATCCTTCAACCCCAAAAAATTAACAAAAACATATTGATTAACATTATTTTTATTAGATAACAATTGTTAACTCTGATATAATAACATAAATAAGTGCCTATGTGTTTTTTTATTCACATGGACTTTAAAATAAAGAAATAATCTGTAAAATAGAATCTACATATGACTCCAGACATACAATAGGATAATGACTAAGACAATAGTATAGGTATTTACAAAATCTATGGAGGAACAGCATTTTAACAGTAAGTATCTCGACTTTACTGGTTCATTCCCTGCATTAACTACCTATGTATTGAATTCACTTTTTCTTTATGTTCTCTCTTCACTCTTTTATTTATAAGTACAAATAGTGTGGTGATCCAGATATCTACCTTCCATTCAAGAAATAAATCTGTATTTTCAAACATGCTGGCGGAACAGCCCTAATAGGTTTAACTATAATAAAAAAAAAATATTTAGTCTATCAGACAGAAAATATTAGACACGTATTTTTTCTTTTGTTTTTATTTCATTACCGAGGCATCATCCCAGTACCAAAAATTCGATCCATGTCTCTCGGTCGAGCGGTATCCGTCTTGATGAAGTACCCGTCCTTGGTGATGTAGAATCCTGGCGGCGGGTGGTTGTGGTCTTCCTCGGCCTTCAGAATCTCCCCGCTGTTCGCTAGGTGCAGGTGGGCTTTGCACTGCTTCTGCAGCTTGGAGCACGCGAACCTGAACACAACATTACAAATATACAACCCGGTCGAGTTAAATGGCAGCTGCATAGCTGTGACGTCACATCGACGCTCTGGTACGGGACCAGGTGAATGTAGGGAGGGTATGGGACCAGGCGAATGTAGGGTGGGTGGGTATGGGTAGTGGAAGAGTCGCGTTCCAGAGATGTGCCCATTTAGTTCGATCGGGTTTGAAATAAGACCCACTCTTTTTGTGAGGTGTCGCATCGTTAGTAAGAGGCGATTGAGGCAGAATAGAAAATGAAAATGAATGAAAAAAAATAGAAATATGCGAACTTCGGGCCAGCGTGGGGAATGTAGGCCAAATCCTTCATTTGTTTCTGGTAAATTAGAGGGGATCGTTCTCCTGCAATGGAGACTAAATGAGACCTGATGATGGAAAAGGACAATATCCTGTCTATTGTTGTCACCTTTTCACGACTGAGTAATATTTTGATGAATTTTTGTTTAGAGAAAGATTGGACTTTCGAAAGTAGGCTACTTTTTGTTACGAAAATGAATGGGGGATATTAAAAAACAACCCACCTAGTGCCACCTTTCCTGATGTGTCCATTCTTGCTGTACGTGTATCCGTTGTATATGAGCAAGTTCCCACCAGTGGACGTCTTCACGAAGCGCACTGAAACAAATTTTAATGATGAGTTTGTATATTTTGTACGAGTAAATTAAATTGTTCTGAGGTAGCCGAATATGTGTGTCTATCTGTCTATCCAACATATTAACAAAAAAAAAGTATAATAACGATTATTTAATACTTACAATTATAAGAGTCCGCTACACTTCGCGCCAAATTGAGGAATGGTAACACTGAAACTAAAAATACAAGTTATTATTAACGGTTACTAAATTAAAAAAACTTGTATCTTACAAATTTTCTGTGCATAGGTACCCGTTTCTATTTACAATGCAATGTAACCACACAAAATCTTTTTTATTAATTTATTAGAAAGTCAGCTACGTTTACAATATTACAAGCTAATGCCATAATTGTGAGTAATAAGTAGTTAAACAAGAGTATACTCTAAGAGTTAATATCATCTTAGTTTCTACACACAGTACAGTACAGTATTCAGTAGAATTCATACTATTTAACTTTCACGTAATGCCCACTCTTGGTCACGAAGTACTGGTCTGGCTTGTGGTTGTGTTCTGTGACGTAGTGCAGTATGACGTCATTCTTGTCGACGTGGACGTACGACTTGCAGCCCTTGCTGACGGAGGAGCAGCCGTAGCGACTACCACCAGCTCTGATTTGGCCAGTCTTNACACAGTACAGTACAGTATTCAATAGAATTCATACTATTTAACTTTCACGTAATGCCCACTCTTGGTCACGAAGTACTGGTCTGGCTTGTGGTTGTGTTCTGTGACGTAGTGCAGTATGACGTCATTCTTGTCGACGTGGACGTACGACTTGCAGCCCTTGCTGACGGAGGAGCAGCCGTAGCGGCTACCACCAGCCCTGATTTGGCCAGTTTTGCAGTACGTGTAGCCGTCGAGATACAAAAGTTTCGATCCGCGATGCGTCTTTATGTATGTAGCTAGAATATCGGGAATGAATGATTTAGATAGTTCTGTTAGTAATATGAAACTGCTGCAGAATGGTGCAAAACGCGATGTTAAAGCTTATGGTATTCTCTCGCCGTCAACCTTTGGACAAAACAGAAATTAGAGAGAGTAGAAAATGGTGACTAGTACTTACTTAATGGGGGTTTTGTAGTTTTATTTTTCTGCTGGACAACCTTCTGATTATATGACCAAATTTCATAGTATCGGATGCGACAGGGTATGAAAGTACAAAGTGTTAAAAATATTATTTATTTTCAGTACCTATGATGTGTTTAAAATCGCTGTAATTTAATGCGAGATAAAATTTCATAAAGTATTATTAAAAATAGAGACATAATTTATCTTTTGTCACAAATGCAAATGCAGATTAACTATGCTGTAACGACAGTAAATCAAGCTTTATGTAGTCGTACAGTCAGCGTCAAATAATTCGTGACGTAAAGTAGCCAAAAAGTTCGCAACACGTCTTCTTTCACATTGGAATATGGTTTTTGGTCACATTGGACGTCACGAACTGTATGACGCTGACTGTATGTATTGGGGCAATTTTAAAATGGCTAGTCTGACTTGCTGTCGTTCTAACATAGCTCTCGAAAATTGAATGGCATCATGAGATATTTTTACAATAAAATCATTTTGCGAAATAGATTTACAAAAGACTCGATAAAACAATAAAATGCGGTACAACACTAACTGAACCTTCAAAAATCCTAATTTTCTCAAATAGGTAGATTCAACTACCCGGTTTATAGACTTGAAGGGTAGTCAACGACGATTAGTCCGCGCAAGTAGATTTACGAAATCTTTCACACAAAAATAGGTTCAAATAATCAAATCATAAACTTTACTTTTGATTGATCCCAGATACAGTTCGTTTTGTTTTAAAAGTCAATTTTCATCATTTTTATTTTCAAAGATGCTTGATAAATCTATTCACGCGGACTGTGATTCGATGACCTATTGGAGACCTGTATTCTAAAACTAATTGTAATTAATTTTCTATGGGTACAACAAGTCCCATATTATTATCCCTAACATCCACTGGTGGAGCATGATTATGTTTACTTCTTGAATATATTATACAATTGTTCGTATCTAAGTGGACGCAGGCCCTGCAGCTCGTTGAATTGTATTTGGTGCACAAATAACGTTGGCTGCCGTTCGACAATACCTTCCCAGTTTTGAAGAATGTATTCTCATCGTATAGCAGCTTCACACTGCCGCGCTTACCCGTGATGAAGGTTGCTGAAATTATATTAAAATTTAACATTACAAAGAACAATTTGAATTACAAACGAAACATACAACTCGGACGAGCTAACTGCGCACCTCGCTGGAATGCAACTCTCCTTCGCACTCACCCGCACCGCATACATCCCCGTGTTTGCCCCGTCAGTACAAGAGCGTCGATATGACGTCACGGTTGCCAAGTGCGCAGTTAACTAAACCGGGTTACAAGAAAGAAGGTTAAAATTACCTTTTGCCAAATACCCAGAGCTTTCAATTTTGATTTCTGCATCAATGTCGTGTTGGGTGGCGTACCGCCCGCTTTCCATCATAACGTATTTAGTGGGAGCGTGTTTATGGATTCCGATGGCTGTGGTAATATTATTGTCTTTATCGACGTGCACACAGGCTTTGCACCGGGGCTTGCTCAAGTAAGAGCAGGTGTAGCGAACCCCTCCTTTAACATTACGCCCACCTTTGTAGTAAGTATACTCGTTGAGCATTAGAAGCGTGGTATCGCGAACGGTCGTGATGAATTGTGCTGGAAACAACAATATAAACACTTCTACATTTACTGAATAAAGTATAGTGATAAAGCCAAATAATGTAGCGGTATTGGAAGCGTTAAAGTAACAGAAAACTAGTGATTCTATTGACACATTTTTTTAGCAAAAGCTTCAAATCGATCTTCATTCAACATATGAAAATGGCCATATTTACCTGGTCCTAAATTAAAAGAAATTTCATGTTGCAAACTGCCATTTGTCAACAGGCTGTCACTGAATCTATCTTCTCTGACGTATCTCCCATCTTCCAGCTTGATGAACTTAATGGGGGGGTGATTGTGTTTGATGAAGGTGGTAACTATGACGTTTTCCTTGTTCACGTGGAGGTAGGACCTGCAACCTTTGTACATGCTGGTGCAGGTGTAACGGTTGCCCCCGTTCATGAGGTGGCCGCTCTTGTGGAAGGGGTACTTGTTAAGCATTAGCAGTGTGGCACCACGGATTGTTGTGATGAATTCCGCTGGAACAAACAACAGCTTCATTAGTAAGGTTTAAGCTTAAACTTGAATTTGGACAGGACAGGACAACTTACTGTCAGTTTTGACAGGATAACAAAATCAACAATTACCCTAAACCATATCGATACCATTTCCTTTTCAAAGAAAGAAAAACCCAGGAAAATGGATGGATTTACAGGAATTGTAGCATAAGCGACGGCACAACGTTTTATGATAAACCACCAAGAAAAAACAAAAGTTATTAGGTGAATATGGGTAAGAGGATAACTATAAATAAAGTGTAATAATGTTTATTTGTCACCACAAAAACATAAAAGTAAAACTACAACAGAAACAAACAATTATTATACACAAATACCATGTTTTAGTAGGAGACTCGGACGACACATTACAATAGTAGGTTGTTAGGACATTCGCGAATGGTGCAAGTGGAAAGTAGAAAATTGTATAGTACTCACATTTTAATATTTGTAATCGATTTATTATAAACAAGCAGGTGTTAGCTGGTTAGTAATATTATGATGTTTGATATTACTTATTCCGCTATAGAATAGATTACATGTAAAATTTTAACTGCCATTAGGGAGGACAATAAAATACATCAGAATTCAAATAAAAAGTGTTTATTGCTTATAATTAGTGAGATCTTATTTTACATTGAGATCATTTTCGTGCCAGAGCTACTTTCTTAGTCCGGATCTATCTTTCTCTATCACCCATAGGGATATGCTGGATTGAGTGACAGAGATAGACCCGAAAATATGAACACATAAGAGAGTAGTTCTGCTGAACTTAAAGCTATATTTACACCGTGTAAAAATATTAATTCATTCTATAAACAGTATTGTAACATTAAAAAAAACAACCACACATGATTTTATTGCATCTAGTATTCTTTAAGCTGGATACTACATTTCTTAACCAGGACGGGGAAATATTTATGAATATTAACCAAAAATATGTCTAACTAAATAAATTAAATATAATAAAAAAAAACTTAATATTGTATGAGAACCAAGGAGTAGGTTTTACCTACGAATTCTTGTACTGCTAAGGCTTACATTTTTATCTTCAAAATTTCATAGGCAAACAAGTTATTTATATTATTTCAGTAAAAAAAAGCAAAAAATCATTTGACTAGAATCTTAACAAAGATTTGGCTGTTGATTTCAATATTTGCCTTCAAAATTACAGAATTAATTATTAGCATTTCCTTCAATCAATTAGGTACCTCGACGATTTGCAAGGAGTAATTTTTAAACAGGTAGAACGTAGGTCACGTTTATAAATAAAAGATATTGAATTCAACAGTCAGCATTTATCATTATTATTATTATCATCTAAATAACATTAACCCTAATAAGATCACAGCTTGATGTAATTACGGACATTTTATTAGAGATCCATTCAGAGGTGACTAGAAGTAAAAAGACTTAATTAAATTCGAAAATACTGTACCTATTGCAATAGGTGTAGTTAGTGAAAGCTGGTGACTCGAAAATTTGGCGTAAATAAATTTCGAAACAGCTAGATACAGAAACGAAAAGCAGATCATGGGCCTGCCATACACGGACAGCTCGAGCAGTGAGCTAGTGATGAACATACACAACAAATCACAAGCGCGTGACGTGGAATATAGATTGCGAGTGCGAGCGGAGGTAACTGCGCGAGAGCAGTCGACAGATCGATCAGTCAGTGTATGACTGGCGACTGCTTGACCACCAGCCAATCGAAAGTAGTCACAACTGCTAGAGCAATTCCGTGCAAGAAAAGAACCACCATACACGGTCAGCTTGAAGCTGCTAATATCGACTGCTTCCAACCCTGCATAGCAAACTACGTAACTGCTCGAGCGGTTCCGTGTATGTGTATACGTAGAATACTGTTTTTGCTATGCAGTTGCAGCTTGAAGCTGTTGATACTAGCTGCTTCAAGCTGTTCGTGTATGGCGGGCCTTAGTGTGTACGTAGAATACTGAAGTTTGATATGCAGTCGCAGCTTGAAGCTGTGGATACTAGCTGTCCGGGTATTGCGGTGCTTAACGCAATATTAATATTATTTCACCAGCTTAAGTCGAGCTAAACGCACTGTGGGTGTGGTTCAAATTGCACCGGACTATCGTCATATCGTCTGCCAAATGGAGGTACGCCTTACACTTGTGCCAGCGGTTCTTGGTGCAGCCCCATCTGAATCCGCTGCGCGTACGCTGCTGCTTGTAATACGTGTAGTTGTGGTAGATCAGCCGCTCTTTGCCCCGTGCCGTCATGAAAATGTTCACTGAAACGACAGGCTGTTATAGTAAATCTAATAATAAATAATGTTAAAGAATATGATCAAATGCTATAGAGATTTCATTGTATTAGTAATCTGCACATTACTTCGCTTGGCAATCAATGATTTATTTACAATATACATCATTCCGGGAAGACGATTTGATGTTCATGTTAGTAGGCTTCATGCTTTTGAATGATTCCCAATTTCTATCGAAGCTTGTTGAAAAGCGAAGGATCGTACTTAAGGCTTTAAGAAAGAAGTACATAAGGAAAATAAATTTCATGTTGCAAATGTACAGCTCATTTGTTGAGGCACGGTCTCCTGTCTTATTAATTGGGTCAAAGGACTGGTACATAAAAGCAAAAAGCATCTTTTGTGCTAATGGAAACTACATGAACGTTTTCAATGGTAGAATGGTGAATATTATGTTTTTCTGGCTAATTTGTTAAATATTAGAAATAACCGAAATATAAATAAAATATACGATTAGAAATAGTTAGACAGTCAATTTATTTATGAAAAATAATGTAGGCTTATTTTCTTAATATCTTTCATATAATAAATCTTTCCAAAAATTGTACACACGTTGTTGTTTTGTGTACAAAAAAGACATGATTTACGTGATAATTCAATCAATCTCGATGATTTCCCCTGGAATGGGAAATATGATAAGGTGATTTGCGTCATGGGCTTATTAGATGGGTAACAGAACTGAAGCAAAAATTTGAAGGATGAAACAAGATTTTGACCAAAGAGTTGATCTTAGATAAACGAAAAAATAAAATAAAAAGGAGACAAAAATAAATAATAATACGTGGTTGTAGTATTATTTTTAAATAACACATTTATATTTGATAAAATTAAGAACACAACACAGTAAACGTTCTAGAATCACAGAAAAAAAAAACACAGATCTAACTCCTATCAGATCAAGAATAATGCAGAGTCAAGGTACACATTCTTAGTCTCTCAAGAACTCAAGCTTAAAGCTAGTTTAATTTGGGAAATTAATCACAGAAAACACAATATTGTAGCTTATTATTATTCAATAGTATTTGGCGGCAATCTATCAAAGTTTGTACTTGATTTGCGCGGTTAAGGCTAGCTGCAGACCACAAATTTTTTATCGGCTGATAAGTGGGACTTAACAATAATAGGACCACGAGGAACTAGCCTTCCTGGTGGTCCTACTAGTAGAACAAATTAGTAGGACCACGAGGAAACAGAACTGCTGATCAGTATGGACATGACTGTATGCAAGTGCTCACTTTGGTATCGGCCGATTCTTCATACAAATTAAAATTGGGCCCAATTATCGGCCGACTAAAAGTCTATGGTCTGCGGGGAGTCTTACCCACCAAATTCCTATACACCATTACCTAAAGTTTGACATATTTCCCGCAGGGCATCATATGGTAAGTAGCTGGGCGGTGATTGTGGTTGATTTTGGAACTGTTCAGCATATTTAGTTGCTGGTCGAGGTGGACGTATGCATTGCAGGTGGACCCCCTGGTGCAGGCCCATCTGGTGGCCTTTCGCTTCTTGACCAGAGCCTTCTCGTAGTATGTATGACCATGCAGCATATACAGCAGTTTTCCGCTTAGCAGCTGTATCATTTCACCTGTAGGAATAATATTTGAGAGAATTTATTATCCCATGATGAAGCTTATTGACTTGTATTTTTAAACAGATAAAATCAAAAATATAAAAAATATTTTACTTCAGATTTTAGATTTATTTATGTTCGACATTTATTTTGCATTGTGTTTCCAATTAATATTAGGGAGTTAAAATAGCCACAGATCCGAAATTTATGAGTTCTTAAATTCTAGCCATTGATTTCTTGATAGATTACTTAGCCCCAGTTTTTTGAATCATAGTTAAAATAACTAATTGTTAAATTTTGCTACTAATGGTTAAATATTAACAAATTGTAACTAATAGTTAAAAAATGTACTAAGTCAAGCTAACCATTGTTCGAAAAAATGTTTTTTCGGATATTTAACCACTTGTCATTTGACATCTGTCAGATTTGACTATTGGTTATTTTAACTACGAATCAAAAAACCGGGCCTTACTGACTAGCATTTTGACATGTAATAAATATTATGAATAAATTCTTATCTTATTACGAATGTGAAAGATTGTGATAATGTGTAGATGTTTGTCACTCTCACACCACAACTACTGAACTTTACATTACAGGAACGTCAAGTCTTTCGACATTGTAGTATTTTGTATGACTTATAATTTCTTACTTGCTGAGGATGTTGCGGTGTGTCTAGATATCTATAATAGTGTTTGAGCAAACGTCAAGAGGATTTCAGACAATACACTACTATAATAAAAGATGTAACGGTTAAATATGTAATAATAAATTATAGTATTGACTGACTTACAAAATCTCAGAAACTACAAGTGCTAGGAGTCTCAAACTGGGCATGGGGGTTCCTTTTTAGAACGTAGGTGCTCACTAAGACGGGATTTTGCAAATTCAACCCCTAAGGGGGTAAAACGGGATCCACGCGTATAGGGTTGCCAGGTCCAAAAACACAAAAGCCAGACTCGGTGCTTAATTTGGCCGGACATTTAACCCTGTCCCTCACTAACTTCGATTGGCTAGGCAGCTACATAAAAGCCTAACAAAAGCTGGTCAGACAAGTCCATAAAAAGTCAAACATATCCTGGCAACTCTACACGCGTAAGAAGTCGCGGGCGGCCGCTAGTTCTTTATATTTTGTAGTATTTCCCAGTGGTTGATATTTGATACTTTGAGGAGGGGTGGTTGTGTTCCATTTTAGAGGTCGAGAGCGCATTCATGGCTTCATCCAAGTGTAGAAATGCTGAGCAGGTTGCAGCCCTGGTGCAGGACCAGCGGGTAGCGTTCAACTTCTTAACGACATACTTCCGATAGTACGTCTGTCCATCCTTGAGGAATACGTTCTTCCCGCTGATCAGCTCGACCATGTGACCTGGTTCCCTTGGAGGACAATGCTTAGATAGTTAGAACTAGAACGGGTCAAATGATTGATAGTTAGAACACAGTTTATTGTATAAGATTTTAAACTTTCGCATTCCATTTCAACTAAAATAGTAAGAGCCGCCAGTCTGCTTGTAACCACGGCTGCAGCATCGCAGCCGAAACGTCAAGCCGTGAGTACATAATGTAACTCATTAATAAACGTCGCGTTAAGACCCGTGTCTTACTATTACCACATTACAGTTTATTGTACATCATACCAGGTAAGAAAAGAAAAAAAAACATTATGCAAAAGATACGGCACTATTCAGGCGTTCTTATAGCTCTAAGGCGATACACTCTAGACAACCAATGGGACAATTGTCAGAATAGGTAAAGGAAAGCATATTTTATTGCAATGGAACAAGGTTGATGTACACGGGGTTAAGATATTTAACATCGTCTAAATTGGCCAATTTTCTTTTTAATAAAACGAAAAAGACTGACAGTACATAAACTATTCATTGTATTGTAAATTAATGAAACTATAAACAAACTTAATCAAAACATAATATTTTTGATAATAAATTACAAATACGATTTTGGTAAATAACACAGAATTAACATTGCATTTTGGATATTACTGTTGAGATAAAAAAACATACCTACTTAGGTACTTACTTATCTATGTTTTAAACAGGACTATGAATACGATAAACCTAGGAAATACAGTTAGTTAAGTTAATTTAAATAGATACACATTCATTAATAGGTCCAACCTAACCAAACAATAACATGTACATTATTTTCAAAATCACACCATTTTATCTAGCTATAAAATCACACAATTTTATCGATGCTAGTAAAACTAGAACCGTCGAGAAGTGGAAATATAATTAAATGTGATTGGCTATTCAACACTCTTCTCTGCTCCGCTCCACTTTGGTGGAAAACGTGCCTTATATCATACGGAACCAGTCAGTCAAACCACACAAGAAAATTTTAAACCATCCTTTGAAAATATAATAAGAACTCTAAATGCTGTTACTTTAGCTCTTTAACCTGATGTACCTCCCATCAGCCGTCTGGTGGAGTATCCCAGGAGCGTGCGTGTGTTCGTTTTTAGAAGTTTCCAGAACATTAAAGTGTTGGTCCAGGTGTAGGTAGCCTTTACAAATGTCGGACCTAGTGCAGGGGTACCGCACCGCGAGCCCTTTCCTCAGCGACACCGCCTTGTAAAAGGTGTACCCTTCGTAGTAGTATACCGTTTTACCGTTCACTAACTGTATCAGTTGACCTGTAGAACAAAAAAAAAATTATGTATTTATTTATTTAAAAAAAAACTTCCTTAGTCATTATTATTTATTGTTTTTTCTCATTTGTATTTTGTACAAGGTATTAAGAGGTAAGCAAAATTACAAGAGCGAATCATTGGGGGAGGCCTATGTTCAGCAGTAGACGTCCTGTGACTGAAACGTTGATGATGATAGTTGCAAATGTTGCAATACAATCTACTATTGTCGTTCGTTCGTTTCAACCGAATGACGTCCACTGCTGGACAAAGACCGGTCGTGCGCGCTCGCATCCAGGCTCCTCCCGCAACCTTCACCAGATCGTCGATCCACCTAATGGGAGGCCTGTCTACACTACGTCTTCAGTCTAATATATTTCCCGTCCGTTATCTGCAAGAGTTTCGGAGGCGGATGATTGTGCTTGCCTATGGGTGGCTCGGCGATCTTCTTATTGTTAGCAATATGCATATAAACCTTGCATTTGTTGGTCATGCTGCAGGTCCACCTAGACGTTTTTGAGTTCTTTAAAGAGCCTTTCTTGGTGTATGTGTAACCAGTGTAACCATTGAACAAGAACATACTCCTCCCATTGAGAAACTCGATTATACGCCCTGAAAGTGTTTGGATGGATGAAATCCTGGTCCAAATGCATCGACACAGTTGCACCTGCTATTAAGACTGCAACTCCACCTACCTTTGGTTCCCTTCCATCCACTCCGTTTTCTATACAAATACTTTTTGTACAAAATCATTAGCACAACTCGATTAGGTCCCCTGGGGACAATTTCAGAAATTTCATGAAAAATCAGTGAGCTGCTACAAAATTAGCTAATATTTGATTTAAGTAGGACAAGTTCCTATGCTCCAATGNTGTGCCCCACCTTACCCTATCATCATCTAAATAACATTAACCCTAATAAGATCACAGCTTGATGTAATTACGGACATTATATTAGAGGTCCATTCAGAGGTGACTAGAAGTAAAAAGACTTAATTAAATTAGAAAATACTGTACCTATTGCAATAGATGTAGTTGAGGCTGGTGAGGTGACTAGAAAATTTGGCGTAAATAAATTTTGAAACAGCTAGATTACTACAAAAACGAAAGGCAGCTCTAAGACCTGCCATACACGGACAGCCCGAGCAGTGAGCCAGTGATGAACAATTGAACATAGTCAACAGCTTGAAGCTGCCATTGATAACTACTTGAGCAGTTTGTATTAACTGCTCAACAAGTCACATGCGCGCGTGACGTGGAATAAAGTGCGAGCGGAGGTAACTGCTAGAGAGCAGTCGACAGATCGAGCAGTCAGTGTATGACTGGCGACTGCTTGACCGCCAACCATTCGAAGCAGTCACAACCACAACTGCTAGAGCAATTCCGTGTAAGAAAAGAACCGCCATATACGGTCAGCTTGAAGCTGCTAATATCGACTGCTTCCAACCCTGCATAGCAAACTACGTAACTGCTCAAGCGGTTCCGTGTATGTGTATACGTAGGATACTGTTTTTGCTATGCAGTCGCAGCTTAAAGCTGTTGATACTAGCTGCTTCAAACTGTTTGTTTATGGCGAGCCTAAGTGTGTACGTAGAATACTGAAGTTTGATATGCAGTCGCAGCTTAATTCTAACTGCTTAGCTTTGCTGGCATTGCGGTGCTTAACGCAATATTAAAGTGTGTACGTAGAATACTGAAGTTTGATATGCAGTCGCAGCTTGAAGCTGTGGATACTAGCTGTCCGGGTATTGCGGTGCTTAACGCAATATTAATATTATTTCACTAGCTTAAGTCGAGCTAAACGCACTGTGCGTGTGGTTCAAATTGCACCGGACTATCGTCATATCGTCTGCCAAATGGAGGTACGCCTTACACTTGTGCCAGCGGTTCTTGGTGCAGCCCCATCTGAAACCGCTGCGCGTACGCTGCTGCTTGTAATACGTGTAGTTGTGGTAAATCAGCCGCTCTTTGCCCCGTGCCGTCATGAAAATGTTCACTGAAACGACAAGCTGTTATAGTAAATCAAATTAATGTTAAAGAATATGATCAAAGGCTATAGAGATTTCATTGTATTAGTAATCTGCATATTACTTCGCTTGGCAATCAATGATTTATTTACAATATACATCATTCCGGGCAGACGATTTGATGTTAATGTTAGTAGGTTTCATGCTTTTGAATGATTCCCAATTTCTATTGAAGCTTGTTCAAAAGCGAAGGATCGTACTTAAGGCTTTAAGAAAGAAGTACATAAGGAAGAGAAATTTCATATTGCAAATATACAGCTCATTTGTTAAGACACGGTCTCCATTCTTATTAATTGGGTCAAAGGACTGGTACATAAAAGCATCTTTTGAGCTAATGGAAACAACATGAACGTTTTTAATGGTAGAATGGTGAATATTATGTATTTCTGGCTAATTTGTTAAATATTAGAAATAACCGAAATATAAAATATATGATTAGAAATAGTTAGGACAATCAATTTATTTATGAAAAATAATGTAGGCTTATTTTCTTAACATCTTTCATTTAATAAATCTTTCCAAAAATTGTGTACACACGTTGTTGTTTTGTGCACAAAAAAGACATGATTTAAGTACGT